GACCAAACAAATAGCGCTGCAGGCATTATGCTAACTGAGAGAAGCTGTTCCATCTCCCCCCCCCCCCCACACACACACACACACACACACACACACACACACACACACACACACACACACACACACACACAGAGCAATCAAGTGCCATTAGGCTCCCTGAGTGCTGTCGAAACTGCAGTCTATGAAGATTTGTCAATACCCTGCTCTAAAATGTACCAACCAACACATCATGAATGTGATTTTAAGTGAGAGTACCCTGCTTTGTGTACACCCTAAATTAAAATGCAAAATGTTGCAAAAAACCAGGGCATGATTTAGCTTGCACTTTGTAGAACCATGTAAACAGAGGGTTTGCATTACGCTCCGTTATAACCTTGTGAGTTGTTGTTATTATGATAATAGGGTTAATGTGTTGCAGCATACCAGATATGCCTTCTTATTAACTTGTGTGTTCCATTTCTTAAATGTAGCATGAAAGCATTTTTGCTCTGCTCACAACAACCATGTTTGATGTTTTCCACCGCCACATGCAGCAATGGTGCTGTTTGTGTTTTGCAACACTGTTTTGCTATTGCTCATTAAAATTAAAATAGGTGGAATGATGGACTTGTAGTCTGTATATGTTTATCCAGTTATTATAGTCATGTGAAAGGTGGATTGAGTATGGGAGAACTGTCTGGATCTGGTCTGTGCAAGTAAACTACTACAAATGGTTAGTATGAGGTATTCATGAGCTGGTAACCTTAACCCTGAAATCCTGTCACCTTGCAAGCAAACACTCTGCCTGCCGTTTGTGGCAGCACTTTCTGCACATTTCAAGCGAAAAGAGAGCACGCGCTAAAGCCGTGTGTGTCGAGATAGGAGTTCTGAATGTGATGTATCAAAGCTGAGAACGAGTGCAGCTCAAAGCCTGCAGTCTCTGGCTGAGTGAAGGATTTGCATAGGTAGGCTCATGTGTTTTCCTCTTGGTCCCTGCCATTGTTTTCATGTGACAGGTGCCTGACAGCCAGGGAAAATGGGACACAGGCAAAGAAAAAAAGGGTCGAGTCTGGATTTTGTCTCTCTAAGAAAGGAACTGACAAACGGAACAGTTTGATATGCTCACTCGCCAGTTGTGCTCACAGTGATGGAGGAACGCCGCAGACTCTGGGTCCAAAAATAAATGCCTTTGGAGTGTGAGAGGACCACTATCAAGCCATCCAGATTGTGTTATTGACTGCCTGGTGAGATCAGGATTAAGGACAGACAGCTTTGATTTTGCCACAGTTTTGCCTCTGAGTCATAGGTTAACCCACAAAATTCAGGGAGAATCTTGTTTAAGAGGATTAATGCAGCAAAAGATGTGAGGGCCAGTTTTGCTTTCCCTCCACTCATCCCTCAAAATCCTTATGATTTCTTAGATCCAGCGGTTCCTCGCCGTAATGTTTGTGGCAACACATAAGCTTACATCCTTTAATTTGAAGCATGTGCCGAGGAACCCTTTAATGCAGCCTGATCCGCCAACATGAAAAAAAAGCCTGCACATCAAGTTAAATGGAACCACTATGGACAGATGTTAGCAGGAACTCTTGGAAGTCAGAATGGCGATAATCAGTTCTGGAGGATTCCGGCTCAGCACCCAATGCACGCACGGATGCATGCTGAGGCACACACTCTTAAGGGCTTATCAGGTTTGAATCATTAGCACAGCTCCCCTGCTGCTGCCTGCATGTGTGTCACAAGTCACATTCTCGTGCTATAGAAAGGATTTATAGCTGTGCGGCTGCAGCCAAAATCTTGTCTCTCAGAGAACTAGAACAAAAATATCATTCAAATGTCAGGTGGGTTTAGGTACTGCGAATGGGTCAAAGGTCAAAGATGGATGGATGGAAGTGTTGGATTACTTTGTATCGCCAAGCACGTACAAGTGGCCACTCTAACACTCCAGTGCTCTACAGTGCTCTTGAGCCTGTCAGTGTTATGTAAAATGCTGTGGACTTGATTGTGTTTTTGTTTGTCACTGTTGGTTTTAGAATAATTGCTTTTTAACCAGAGGACATGGATGTTAGCTTTAATCTCTTCTGCTGATTTGGAAGTTATTTGGCAAGTGACTTACAGAAACACAAACAATGTCATAAAATGGATCATTTCAAGTATAAATAACATCAGCTGGAGTCCTGCTTTCTGTTTTTCAAAGTCATTAACAGATGCTATCTCTCTTTCTCTGTTATTTTATTAAGCTGTTTTTTTAGGTATTCTACTGCACTTGTATATCACTGTCTACAAGTGCAATTGTGCTGTTGACGATATGTTCATCTTAAAAAAACCTGTGACACCCAGTATTTTCAGTTAATATTTTCATTTTGCGAGAATATTTAGTTTCAGCATTGCATTGGAAGTAAGCTTTGCAACATAAGCCACATTATGCATATATTATTCTTTCTGCAGGTAGTTCTGTCTCTTATGAGAAGTTTCATCTCTACCATCTCACATCAGAGTGTTCTATATGCACACAGTTCATCACCCGCATGCTTGCAGCATCTTACTTTTATTGTACACCGCTGTATTGCTTGGAGAAAGCTCCTCTGCAGAGATGTCCTCGAGCAAGGACAAACAACACCATCCCTCTCTCTCTCTCTCTCTCTCTCTCTCTCTCTCTCTCTCTCTCTCTCTCTCTCTCTCTCTCTCTCTCTCTCTCTTGCCAAGCGAGGGCAGAGGTTGGCAATATAACAGGAAGACCTGGAGAAAGTACTTACTAAAAAAAAACCCTATCTTTATCAAGGAGAGGTACAAAGCTATGATAATGAGACATTGACCTCACTCCACAATGTTATTTTAGAACACATAAAAAGAATGGTGGCAGCCTTTGCTGGATTTTCCCCAGCGTGGGCTCACTGAGGGAAGGCTGGCGTCTCCTCTGTGTATACGGCGTAATATTTCACCCCTTTGTGCGTGTCTCCATGGAGCGGTGTGCTCGTCACCACTGTGGTTTAGGTGTTCCCCACCTCCCTCTTTAATGACTCTGGAGATGAAACACAAGCTGACTTAGCTGGTAATAAAGGCATTGTGTTATGTTGTTAGAGCCAGACTGGTATTAAGCACGTCTGAAGCTGCAAATAAAGCATATAGCATGGCGGCTAAGGCATGGTGCTAAGGAGCGCTCATTGTAGCCTCGTATCAAGTTGGAACGAGCTGTCACTGAAACAAACACTCCATTGTCCTACACATAATGCCGTTGGGTGTGGTGCTCGGTAAAAAAAAAAACACCCCAAAGGCAAACAGAAGAACCTCACGGAGAGGTGTTCTCCAAGGTAGCCCTCAGTGTTGTTGTAAACACGCTGGATCTAGAATGTCATGAAGAGGTTACTCTGCATAGGAGGAGCATTATGAGTTTTAGCTCATGCCAAATAGCTTTATACATAATAAGCCCCAACGGCTGTTTGTATACAGATGATCCAGAATGACTTTAAAGTTGATATTTTACTGACATCTTGCTCTTCTGTATCTGGGTTTTCAGTATTGTGGTAGAGTTGAGGTTAGTTCAAATCTTGTTAAAAAGATCAGTAAATCAGTTCTTTTGGGATACAAAGTTTTTAAAACACTACTCTCTGATTAATTATTATTTATTCATTTTGAGTATTGGGGTGCAGGTTTAGCTCAGCAGTTAGATTCTGTGACATTTGCAAAGACTTACAGCCCTCGTGGCCGTCCCGGGTTTGACTCCAAACTTCGACTTTTGCTGCATATCTTCCCCCACTCTCTTCTCCCAATATACTCCAAAATGTTACATCAATAGTGGTAGAAAATGGCCTAAAGATATCTTTAAAACGTATCCCAAGCTATCAAAGATTTATAAAAAAGGAATATCTGCTAAAACATTTTTGACCCAAACTGCTGCAAGAAGAAAAAGGACAAGCAGCATGATTGAGTGACGAAGACAAGAAAGAAGAGAACGAAGCACAGTCAAGAACAGAGCAGTTAATCAGATAAATAAAATATTTTTTTTGAGTGGTTATGTTGTTTTAAAGATTTATTTTTGGGCTTTTGCCTGTATTTGGATGGGGTAGCTCAAAAGTGGCAGGAAATCTGGGAAGAGAGAATTGGGGGAGGACTTGAACCAAAGGAGGTGTTAGGATTGGGAGACAAACTTACAACCAGTCCAACTAGGACTGTATCCTCTGTGTCGCCTGCTCTACCCAATCAGCTAAACCAGCCACCCCAGAATATAAAAAAAAAACCTGCAGAAGGTTGCCGGGTTTGTGTTTCAATGCAACCAAATCAACACTTCCGACTGCCAGCCGCTTGTGGCCTCTCTAACAACCTTTTCTGTTTGTCCCATCCTGTGGAGTGACGGCTACAACTTTCCCAACGATTGACACCCAGGAATGTCCCAAACACAGCAAAATTAAAGAGTACAGACAAGAGCAGAGTCTTTGTAGGATAAATACACAAGATCCACATTCTTATTATTGAGTTATATTTACATTTTCTGTGACCCTTCTCATTTTGCAATTTATCACAAAAATGTCTATTTTTTTTGGTGCTTGTTCAGGGATTTTCATTTTGTGCATATTTGTAAATAAGTAAGTAAAGGATTAATATAGTAACAGTTGTAGTAACAGAAATTCTGCTCTTATAAAATCCCTATTTAATGAAAGGAACTGAAACTCCTTTTGGTGCCCTGTTTCAAATGGTGTGAGAAAGCAGGGGTGAGAAATTCAACATGATATGTTGACAGGCGGGCACACAAAGACGGGATGTTTCTCCCATGTCTCAGCTGCAGGTGTGCACAGCAACAATGCCACCGTGGGGGTTTTCTCCTTATTGCCTTTTTGAGGAGAAAGTGATACCCATAGAAAAACCAAGTTTTGCATGCCAACATGACTGACAGTAGGCACTAACATCACCTTCACCTCTCCCCCCTCCCTTCTGCTCTCTCTCTCCCCCCTGACTCCTTTCCCTCCCTCTCTTTCTATCACTTCCCATCCTCCTCTCGTCCCCTTTTGCTCTGTCTCTCTCAGGCGTGCCAAGTTTTGTCAAATCCCCAGAGGATCAGACGGGCATCTCAGGTGGAGTTGCGTCGTTTGTGTGCCAGGCCACCGGGGAGCCAAAACCAAGAATCACCTGGATGAAGAAAGGCAAGAAAGTCAGCTCCCAGCGCTTTGAGGTGAGCGCTCATGCGTGACTTTCAGATCTCTGAAGGCTCAACACACACACACACACACACACACACACACACACACACACACACACACACACACACACACACACACCCACATGTATTCTCAAATACGAGCAGGCACGGACAGAACACATGTGACAATCACATTATAGGCGTGGGCTTTAGACTGCCTTTGTAGACCTCCCTCATTAACACAGACACATCCACACATGCATTAGCACTCACAGTGTTAGCACTAAACACACACACTCACAAAGCACACACAATCAATTGCCCTGTTATTGAGCATCACACCAACTCCCCTCCTCTTTGAGCGAGACCAGACAGGCTTCCCTTCTCTTTAATCTTCCTCCATCTTGATTTATATAGTCCTCTTCATCTCTTTCAGTCTTTTTACACCCTCATCCTTCCCACTCCTGATCTCCTGCTCCACCATCTCACCATACATCCCCTTGATGTATTACTAGATGTATTTCCCCTCCTCTTTTGAACTCGTATGAACAGAAGAGGTGCCTTAGGTGGGGATTCACACTCTTTCTGACCACCCTTCGTAACGTGATGTAGCTGGGCGAGCTGGTGGTACTATTGAGGTTCCCAACTATTTGGTAATCTCTGGTTTGATGTGGTGGCTCTGCTGCTGAGCTTATTGTTTTGAATATAGCTGTAGTGCATTATTCACTCCAAAAACATGGGTTGTTAGTCTTTTGTATTTTTTTTGTATTAAGCAAAGATGAAAAAAATTTGGATTTCACAAACTGAGAAAGAAAAAAAATCTGAAAGTCTAAACAAAGATTTTTTTTTTTTTTATAGACTATAGGTTGCCTCATCCCCCCCCCCCAAAAAAAAATAAAAAAAATAATAAGATGCCCCTTTTTCTTTGCTCTGGCCCTCCTAGGTGATTGAGTTTGACGATGGCTCAGGCTCAGTATTGCGGATCCAGCCACTGCGCACACACAGAGACGAAGCCATTTACGAGTGCACGGCCACCAACAGTGCTGGCGAGATCAACACCAGTGCCAAGCTCACAGTGCTTGAAGGTAAGATAAGTCTTTCTTTTATCGCTTGGTTTCTTTCTCCATCTTGTTTTCACTCTCACATTTATTTTTCATTCCTCTTTCTTTTCCTGCTGCTGCTGCTGCTGTTTTTTTTTTTGTTTTGTTTTTTTAAAGCTTTGACTCCAATTTATTCAGAAGCACATACAGGTGTCTGCCTTAGTAATTCATACATAAACATTTGCAAACTCTTAAGGATTCCGGGTATTGGCAGTGTCATAGAGGAGTAGATCTATTTTAATGTAAACTCTGCAAGGTTAAAAAAAAAAAAAATTGAAAAATGCAAGGAATGCGTTTTTTAAACGAGATAGCATACAGTTTAGCAATTCAGCAGAATGTGTGACCTGGAATCGAGTTATATTGTAGGAAATGGCTGCCATTTATTGACTATCATGCTACACTTTATCTCCCTCTCTTAATGAGTTAGTCATCCGTGTCCCAATCGTCGAGCAGAGAAAATCAATTCCATAATCAAATAAAGAAATAATAAATTGCCCCATCAGAAGCCTGGTTTGTAAAATAATGACTGATGGCTAAAGCTAGACTGAAATGTAAATATACAAGTCGGTGATTTCCTTTTTAGTAAACTCAAAGACATATGCTAAATGAGTGTATAAATAATTTCCACATATAGAGTTCTGCCAGGCCTGCAGGCCAGTTTGACCTCCAAGCATTTTCCCCCCTCTTGCACATAGCGTTAATGTATATGATTTATGTGGACAGGGGTTCCCTGCTCAGCCTTCCATGTCAATGAGCTGTGAAGATGAATTTCTTTCTTGGCTGATTGTAATTTTGTCATGTGGGAGCTAGTCATCACAGGAGTTGATTTCATTAGAAAGTTTCAAAGAAAAAAAAAAAAAAAGGCTCCAGAAGTCGCCAGCGGGAGGATTAAGGCCCTCCTTAGCCATTACACTGGCATTAAAGCAGATCCCCACTCACTCAAATACAGCCTTTCTATCCCTTGTTTGAGTCCCATCTTTCTTACACCCACCCTTTCCCTTTTTTTCCTCCGTCCACGCTGATTTGATGATATCATCGGCTGGGCTTGCATAATCTACCCGTAGGGACTTTTTTCTCCTGCGCAAAGAAAGGTTTTTTTTTTTGTCTTCTTTTTTCCTCCTTTGCGCTTTATCGTGAGGAATGCTGCTGCCTGCACAAACAAACAGCACTTACATGACACGGAGCGAACATGAGACGAGATTAATCACAATCTTAGTGTTTGGGGGGGGGGGGCGAAATGGGACGCCGAGGTTTGGATTCCCTCAGTCAGTGAAGTAGAAAGAAGCACAACAGTGAGCTACTGTTTCTCACCGGCAGCCGTGCTTTGCATGAAGTCGTCTTCTCACTGTGATCCTGCGCTCTGTGTTTCTAACCTCAGAGTTAAGTACTACACAGACAGACACATGCCATGTGAGGGATTCTTTTATCTATAGAGCGTTACTACTTCATCACTTCACTGCATACACGATGGGTTTGAAATCAGACATTTGAATGTCTTTAGTGTTTGTTGCTCAACCCACGTCTTTAAGTCAGAATGAAGTGAAAAAAAGGAATGCAGTGCTCTACATTTCTTTTTCAGAATATACACATCTTTGAATATAAAATCAGCAATATTTAGTGAGAAACTTTAAGTACTGCTTACCGTAGTTTGAAAAGGTTACTAGTGATGATGTTTCCACCAAAAAACTAACACCTGAGTCTGCACCTCTACACAGAGCTAAGCCCCTTTAAGCTCTTTGTTTTGCTCTGACAAACCAAAACAATGTAGGTTCATATAAACGTGTGGACAGCTGCTCTCAGAGCCTACAAGCCCAAGCAAGCCGTTTTTTTTTTTTACGCTACCTGTCCAGATTAAACGGGCAAGCTGCCAATGTAAACAACTGGTGGAGTCTTCGTAGATCATTTAACAAGGCGAAGAGAGACAGATATTTATTTCAGGACTAGGACTTCGATGGTATGTTGCCAAGTTGTTGTATCTTTTTCGATGTAAGGAATCTCTGTCAAAAGCTACACTGATAACCTCCTGAGCTTCTCAGCTATAAAAGCTTGCAGCTTGTTTTTTGAGCCTTTCTGCTTAATATTATTCAAAACATCCCCATACAGACTCAGCTGTCAATGTACATAATTCTAATTTTAAACATTATATTTGACACAATCTAGTTAACATGAATATAGTTAACGTTCCTAATGTGTTTAAATGTTCTTCAAGAATCTTCTGCCTTATGTTTTATTTTTTTTTTAACTTTTTATTTAGTCCTTCAGCCTTTTTCCTTTTTACCAGAGGAAGACTTTCAAGTGCAGCCACACAGGCTGGTAAAGAAAAAAAAAAAAAAAAAGAGCCACATATCAGATTTAATCAAAAATAACTCCTTCAATCTGCTCATCCAGGACCCTGAGGATTTGCTGGACAACTTGTTCATACATGCACATGTGAAAACAAATGTTCAACCACACTCATGCACATTCCCTGACGCAAAAAGAAAAACACTCTGTAAATAAAAAAAAAACCCACACACCCGCTTGGAGAAATGTTGTCAGCTTGGCTCTATTTTTAGACTATTGTTTGTAGCCTAGCGATACATCAAGTTCATATCAGCAGCACCACACAAGAAAACACTGGGGCAGCACCAAACAGACGGAGACTAATGATCCTTCTCCTTAATGGGGCAGCGGTAGCCTGAAGGTGTCACGTCACAGTGTTGCCTTTGCGAAACCAATGATAGAATCTGCAGAAAGTGACCAAGAAAACTACAGAGCTTCTGTAAACTTGATTCAGTGTGGTGCCCTTGAGCAAGGCACAGAACCAGTTAAGCTGCTCGGTGACAAATACGAGAGGACTGCAACTTTCCCCGGCTAGCTCTCCAGATGGGAATGTGCAAAGAAAATATTCAGCTGAGCATTGCTAAAAAAAAAAAAAAAAAGCATGTCAGTTTTAACCTTCCTTTGGATAAATAAAGGTTGAAAGAATGGTTTCATAAGCAAGAACCTCCGTTTTTATTTCACAAGAAAAGCCTCTCACTCCCCACATGACTTTAAGTGCATGTGACTTTGCATCCACATAAAGTTGTCATAATACATTGAGCAGAGAGGCAGTGAGAATGGTAAAGTCATTATACCACTAAGTCGATCTGGATTATAGTTTTAAGCAGAGCAAAGGAAGGTCGAGCATTAATTATGATTATTTCATATACCGGCTCTTTATTACGTTCTGCCAATCCTGCAAAATATGGATTATGACAGTCATAACAGTGCAGCTTTACACATGCCTTCAGCGTGCGCATTTGAAGGGTGAAGTGTATGTGGGCAAATACTGCGGTTCAAAAGTGCACGCAGGATATCTGGATCCCTTTCTTGTGATAATTAATTCAATGGATTCAATTTTTTCTGTCAGTAATGGACACTCATGTAACAAAGGGGGGACCAGAGTCTGGCATCATTTTGCCTAGAAACACATAAAAAAAAAAAAAGTTTTGATTTCAGGTCTTTGAGTTTATTATATGTTCATATTATTCTTAAATTTACAAAAAAAAGAACCATTATTCCATCTAAATAATCAATACTTACTCACTCAGTATGAATACATTTCACCTGGATTCAAGACCACAACACAACACAACACAACACCATACCAATACCATACCATACACTTTCTTGACCATTTAACGCTGCCCCTTGTCTTTTTCTGAACTCAACCAGATGATATCAGCTGGGGCTGTGACTGTACACTTTAGCCTGACACTTACCTGTGGCGAGCAGAAAAATCATTGTTTCACACCAGTCTAGTCGGGCATTAGCACTTTTGCAGTCATGAGTCTTGAGTCACTCTGTAATTCTGTCACGCTGTAACAGCCCTGCTCTTTGTTCCTGGCAGTTCTCACACACACCCCCCCCCCCCCCCCCCCCCAGCCCCCGAAAAGGGGTCACACCACAGAGACTTACATACAAGCCCAAAGTCAGCTCAGTCATTTCTCAAGGTGTGTGTGTGTGTGTGTGTGTGTGTGTTAGACTGAGAGTTAGACACACTAAAAGAAGTCAAATAACAAGAAGAGAGTCATGTTTCTTCACTGCTGTCACACTGTCATAAGTCAAAATGAGAGGATCCTTGGCTATAATCATCATTTTCTCACTGCGATGTTTTGAATAATGGCCTACATGGAAAATTACTTTTCAAATGTACAATCCTGCCCTGACTGTGTGTGTGTGTGTAACAGTTAGGGAGAGTCAGTGAGCTGTGCGCAGGCCTGACCTGTATGGATAAATAATGATGCAGACGATGCTGCTGAGACTGGAGGGGGAGGTATGATTGAGAAATATTGTTGCTGTCAGTCTTTCATTTCCTCTTCTCTTCCCCTCTCTTTCATTTCAGTTTCTGCCCTCTTGTCTCTTTAATTTTTTTTCTCTCCTTGTATCTACTCCCTCTCCAGTCTAGCTCTGAATCTCTCACTGTTAGCTATAGTGGACAGTGAGCAGCGGCATGACGTTGTAGGGGTAGAATAGAGAGATGACCAGAGGGAACAATGACTCATTACTCGGGTAACGATGCCGATGCTTTGACCTTGAGCGGCCCCTTCTTGAATTGAACTGCCTCCGTAAATGTTCAGGTAAATGGTGCTTGTCTCTGTGATGTATGGGATAAACTACTGCCGGACAGAAAAGACATCTCGGCTCACAAACATCAGTCTTAAACGCAGAGTGCTGTGCTGCCACTTCTCCACGTCAAGGCAATAATTCAAATTCTCGCCGCCGTTAACATTTGATGAGCATGTAAAATGTAAAATGCAATGACTCAAATCGAGAAATGACTAAGGGTGGTGTCAAAAACATGTCAGGATACTAATAGTGACGATAAAACTGATGAGGCTCCGTGATGCATGGAAAAGAGTGACTGTTTTCACAGTGGGAAGCTGACTTTGTCTGCAAAACAAGCTCCAAAGTCTGATGAAACTGCTTTGGGAAAAAAAAAAAGAAGGTATTTGGTTTTATTG